CCCAAGGGCGTACCCGAGGGAGCCACCAGTATAAATATCAACCTATACATGCACGAACAGACACTTACAAATATTCCTTCTTCCCTCGCACAATCCCCAATGGAACGCCTTGCCTGGCCCGGTAGTTATGGCTCCCACCGTTGAGTCCTTCCGGGGCCAGGCTGGAGGCCTGCCCGCCTTAGACCAAGCCCCCCCCCCCCCTAAAGTGCCCCATCAGGGGCTATATGGGGGTGTAGCCGGGGCTCACATAACATCTTTGAGCCCCGGCAAAGATGAAGATGAAGACATGCAAAAATAAAATGTAGCCATGTAAATCACCTGCCAGGACTGGCTTGTGCTGACTTTTCCAAGATGGGGCATTAAGATTTCGAATGTAACAGGAGAACCGTGCATATTTATTGTAAATGTGTCTGTTAGCCAGGTAATAGCCAGGTCATATTTGGTGTCACGAGCACTTGAAATCACAGGCATAAAGAAATTAGGACATCTGATATTTTGTGATGCAAAATATCCTAATTCAAAGCAGTCCAAAACAACCATATCTCAAAGATTGCAACAAGAAATGGCCTTGCATGAAAGAAATGACCTTGAATTTCCGCCAACAGCCAAAATTGATTAATGGCTAATTCTCTAAGCTCTAAATCCTATAACTGTCGTCTGTGGTTATAGAATTTCTATCACCTCTTAACGTAACTCTATTTTTTGTCACTGCTTTCTGCGATCACAATTCTACAACCTCTGAGTTCTACTTTCTGTCAGCCCATCTACGGTTACTACAAATCCTTCCATCCCCCACTTACTACGTACATACGAACGTGCACACAAACAGAGGCGGCGAAAAAAAGCCAGACGGGAATGGCGCTTTAATACGGTCGGCATGTGAGCTTGCATAGCTCCGCGTGCCTGACTGTGCGCACCGGCGATTTGGTGATGTCTTACATGAAACATCTTCCAAACGTAAACCTTCATACACGACCATGATAATTGCATGAAAACCTAGTTACCTTTATAGATGGTGTGAATCTTGTTGTATCGTAGATCCAACAGCATAAGCGACGAAAGCTGTCTGAAGTAGCCTGGCCCAATCGTCTCTAGCCTGTTCCATTGTAGGAGTACCGCGGTAGTAACTGCCCCCCAATGCCCTATACCAAACGCCCCGTCTTCTATATAGGCTATTTGGTTGTGATCTAGATTCAAATGGCCATTGCTTTGGACAAGCCAGTTCTTCCGGAGATACGGGAGTTTGTTATGGCGCAGTGACAGTGATTTTGGACGAAGGAGACCCAAAAATGTGCCACTTTCCAGACGTGCAAGGTTTCCTGAAAGTTAAACAGAAAAAGGCAACGCGACAAATCGTTATCGTCTTAAAGAAGTCAAATCTTTGGTGGATCCGGAGTACATATATTTACCTTATACAAGTTACATGTGTATATTTATATTTAATTTAAAGAACTATCTGGTTTCTTTTTCATAACTTATATACATGTACGAGTAAACTACTAGTATTACTAGTAATGCTTAAAATTGTTCCTTCTGATGTCTTTGTCCCCATCCTGGTTGTGACTATGTGCACGTGCGCCAAATATTCAGCTGCACAACATCAACCTTAATAAATTAAAAAAAAAACGAACAACGTAACAACCCGTCGGGGCATTGGTTTGGAAGTGTGAAGCACGACTTCGCAGCCTGATCGGGGTCTGGATCGGCTGAAACGGAAACGGGCGTTAGCCATGGCTACAACCCTTTAGGTCCCCGGCTTGTAAATGTGCCTAATGTGCCCATTCCACTTAGACGGCGCTCTCACGGCGCTCTCTCTGCGACCTGAAATTGGCCAGAGCGCGGAGAGAGCGCCACGGTCACCATGAGAGCGCGATGAGAGCGCCATGAGTGCCGTCACTTTGGCGATGATAAGGAAACGAGTCATGCCATCGCCGTGAGAGCACCGAGGACGGCGATGGGACAATGAGCGCCATGAGAGCGCAAAGCGGCCCCAACATTAATTAAGACACAAAACATGGCGACCTCGGCGCTCTCTCCGCGCGACGGTATGTGCCGCGTCGGTTCAAAACAGTCGCCGAGGTGACGGCGCTCATGGCGCTCTGAGCGCGCTCTCATGGCGACCATGGCGATCTCTAGGCTACCTTTCCGCGCTCAGGCCAATTTCAGGTCGCAGAGAGAGCGTCATAAGAGTGGAATGAGGCCTAACTTACCTGGGTGTAGATACAGAGTCTTGATGTCTCTCAGATGGCTCAGATCCGACAAGGACAGGGAGCCCAGGCGGAAATTTCGAAGCCACAGCGTCGAAGTCCTTCTCACAAGCGGGCATGTCGGAATGACATCCCGGCGTCCGTGTCCCGACACGGGCGTACAGACCACACAATAAGGAGAGAGATCGTCAAGAGCTTCGGCATCGTGAGTGGCGTTGGTGAGCGAGTTGGACCTCAATTTATAACTGCGACAATTCGGGCAAGAATCGGGACGACATGACGCGTACCTCAATAAGATCATTAAGGCTAACAGAAGTGAACAGCGAGCCATTTTCACACGGTAAATAAAATCTTTCTGACTCTAACGGTGTTTTCTTCTACTGCACAGTTTCTTGCAACAACTGCCTGCGACTCGACGCGTCTTAGTTATAATTCCTGCAGTGGCCAGTGTTACATTATTTCATGTAATGATGTGCATTATAAAACCTCCGGTTTTCCGGATATCCTGCAGCCTACGTATACGCGACTTAGGCAAAAGAAAAAATGTTGTGTTTCTTGTTACCCGACTGTACCATAGATAAATCCTGCCAAAACTCTAGCCTTTTTAGGGAGCTTGCAAGGCCTAGAGACATGATTTTTTTTTCTTTTATCTTATAGTGATGAAAACGAGGAAGAATCGTTTTCCAATATCTCCTTATTTCTGTTACAATAGAAGAGGCGATATACACTGTCCATGTGTAGTGTGTACGTCTTTCCTCAGTTTATTGATATACTTGTGCTAGTTGTGTACAACGTATGACTGTATAATTATATAAAATATGATGATAAAAATATCAGTGTCCTTATACATTACAATCTTTCAGTGCAAAACCATATTTGTTGGATCATTTCCACCGACATTAAAAAAATAGAATCTCTACCAACCGACCCAATCATGATGACATTCTATAATGTAGTACATTTAATGGTACAAATTATGAAGATATTATTGCAAATAAAAAAGCCTCATGATGTAAACTTTATATCTTGTCCAACCCTTACCTCCTTCCTCATGACCTCGATGAAAAGTGACCTGCAGGTCAATTTGAGCTTCTAATGAATAAAGAATGGTTCTAAGTCGCACTCTAAAGCAATGGATTATAATCTTCACACCTGTTCACATTTTGATGGATCCTTATTCCTTTTCTTTCAAAACATTTGTCCTTGCTTGATAATGCCAGGAGTAGTTGTCTTACTTTTGTCTTGAGGTGAAAAAAAATAAACGTACCGGTACGTTTATTCGAGAGGTGGGAGTATATATTTACATTGTTTTGTTAAAGGGATTTTGGAGATTCACCACCTTTGTTTGTTTCACAGGTGCTGCTTTTAGGACTAGATGAGTTAATTACAATTAAGAATGTGGAGAGATTGAAAAGAGATCTTCGTGTGAGTAGATATTTCTTGTTCAACTTTCCTCTGACCTATCTTTATTTTTGTATAAGGCCACACCAATTTAATTTCTTGGTTAACGGATTTGCCCGCTTTGTTTTTTTTTTCTAATTTAAAAATAAAAATAAAAATTCAGAATCAACTGCAAAATGCTCATATTTTGCCCTGAACGGTTGAAAACAGTCCTTTTCTTCCTACATGTAGTTGTTACAGTTATTCCAGCTTTCAATGCAGTGGTATCATTTTGGGCCATAAGAGGATGCCTAGGCCTGTTTTTATTTTTATTTTCGCTCGCCAGCTCCATTATTTTTCTAGAAAAATCCATTGACCAAGAAATTAAATTGGTGTGGCCTAATTGTATCATAAAAAACTAAAGAATAAACCTTCTGAATTACCATAACTGTTGAAGTAGCAAATAAAGTGTTAGTGCAATAAAGGATTTTATGGTCATTAAAGCTTATACTCCTATTATTAATTTTTTTTCACTTTTCAGAGCTGTTATCGGTTGATAGACTGTTTAATGGAGAGTGCAGAGATGTATGGAGATGTGACAGGGTGTGTGGATGTCATTGTGTGCCAGGAACAACTCATCTTACAAGTAAGTACAGGGCTAAAAATACCTGTGTACCTAGTAGTGAAGGTAACATTGAAAATTACCTGCACAGTACGAGAAAAGTTTTACCTGCACCACTCAGAATTTAGGAAGTATGGGTCACAGACTCACAGTCTGAAGACTGTCCAGAAACCATGATTGTCATTATTTCTTTTATACTTGTAACACTAAATGCTGCAAATAAAAATCCACATTAATTTTTTGTATATAAACCAGTGCAGGTTAAGTGCAGGTAGACATCAGAAATACCTGCATAGCCCCAACTTTACCTGCACTGAGGTGCATATGCAACCAGTACTGGTGTTTCAAGCCCCATTTAAGTCCATGGCCAGTTAACACTGTCCATGTACATGTACTGTCCTCAATATGTAAAAGCTATTTTTGTGTAAATTTATGACCAGCCCAAATCATTGTCTTCAGTGAAGACAAAACATTTTTTTTTCTAGGAGTGGCAAACGCCATAGGCTTAGTTGCCATAGTTGCTGAGTATGCTGAGACAAAAACATCCCAAGGGTGGTATTTTTATGACTTAATGATAGCTTTTGGTGAAAGGATCTGTCAGTAAAATGTTTTATTGTAGTATACATACCATCATTGCAACATGTAACCTCATTTAAAGACAATTCAAACTGCTAATGGATACATAACAGAGATAACTTCCTGATGTTTTGAGTGACATCTGTAATTCTTCTTCAGCGTCACTAAATGAACTGAGAGCACATTCAAGTTGACACTAATCACATGTAACCTTGTTATTTTACTTAGATTAGAACTATATTATTATATAGTCTCTTGTAGAAAGTTTGGATAACAATTTTAGTGGGGTAGTGTGGCGCCAGAGTGCTCGACTTGGAACCAAGAGGTCCCGGGTTTGAGTCCTGACATGCCACCGATCTTGTGCCCTTGGGAAAGGCACTTAATTCAACTTTCCCCCTTAACTCAAGTGAAAATGAGTATCTGTCCTGTATTTGTTTCTATGTGTGGGACACAACACCAGCAACAGCTGCCTGTGTCCCACGTGTATTGCACTGTTGCAATTTCAATAAATCGAATCAAACAATTTTCTTTGCAAAACTTATAAAGTTCCTTGTTGTTTCAGGACTATCTGGACTCCTTTGTAAATAGTGCAGACAGCACGTTCGGCTGTTTGTTGGTGTCAGGGAAAGTCGCTGTGGCAACGACAAAATGGTGGGACCTGACGGGCCAGGAGATGTACCTGTTGTCGTTGTTAGCCAGAGTTTTACCTCCAGGGTCTTCCAAGGACATCCCTGTTTACCTTCCCCACGGGAGCCCAAATGTGAGTTTTCTTTTCATTTTCTTGTCAAGACTGTGATATGACAGTGTTTATGATAGTTCCAGCCTTCTTCCTTCCAGGTTGGTGTTTGTATAAATTATATATATATACTAGTACATGATGGTTTGTATTATACTTAAGCTTTTGTGTAAGCTGGTGTGTTATGCCGAAGGGATATTATATTGGCTATACAGATACAAATACAGATACTTAGTTACTAAGTAACTTCAACATGAAGGAAAACTTTTCATGTAGCATAGTAAACGTACATGTAGGCTAGTGGTTAGCAACATTACCTCTGGACCAAGAGGTTGGGAGTTCAAATCCTGGTTGTTGTTGCTCATCCATGTATATGGTACTGTAAAGAGTCACTGTAATTGTGTAAAGAATCGCTGGAACAGGACTTAATGATTAAGCTGTGGTCCACTGCTCATTGTGCTTGTCAAAAAGAGCTAGGGGAATTTCCCCCAGTACGAATGAACCTGTAAATACTGTACATAGTGTCTGTCTTCTCTGTTACAACCAGTGGAAGATTAGCTCTTCAGTGAGCTAAAACTGGATGAAGATCACTAAAATGGAGCCACTAAAATGTGTGGAAGATTGTTTTTAAATACTTTCTTATGACAGTTGTACATTATGACCTTTTATTCCAGGTGCCACACAGGTTGTTAAATTTCCAGCTCATCCAGGGAGTGGAGGTGTGTGTCCTGTGTGGTCCCACACCCTCCCTCACTGAAGTGGAGACAGAGGTAAACACAATTGGACTTCTTAAAAAACACAAGGAATTTAGAAAATCTTGAATGTTTTCTAAATTTGTCCCAAAATTTACAGTAATGTTTTGTGTGTGAATTGATAGGAGATTGTTCCCTCTATGTTATAGCAAATCTCACACTTTCTTTGTCTGAATTCATTGTTATGGTAGGACTGTTAAATGGAGTTTGTGATCATGAATGTAAGCTTTTGTTCTGATTCCTGAAACTGTTCATTTCTATCTTTTCCAGTTGCTTGACAGATACTGGAGACCAGCCATGGAGCCTTTGAGAGCATGTCTCAGAATACATCTGAGAGGGTTTCCCAGTAATATCACTGTACATATAGGAGTCTTAGGGTGAGAAAAATCTGCAGTCTTTTTCAGTTACAAACATTGTATGCTGTAGATGGTTCACTTTTCTTCAGTATTTTAATTATCATGTTGTTTATGATATCATAATCATGTATCTTTAACAGACACAAGTTGATGTACCAAATGTTTGCAAACTTTTTTGTTTACTGTCTTTCTTGTTTCTTGTAATGACAGGTTGATTATTATAAATGTGGAGCTTCACAAGTGTTTGGGGACTGTCCATCCCTTATCTTCAGAAGAAAGCCAAAAGCAAGGTATGTCAGTTCACAGCAATTTCTGAGTATATCTGCATGAGCACTACAGAACAAGCTAAAATCTGAGTTAAAAAAGTTAAAATCTGAATGTGTTTTTACTGTGCCAAGGATGCAATATTTTTACAAGAAATGTCTGTTTGGTCAGTTTGTTCAACTGCAGAAATAATACAGATTGCTAGATTTTCATGCTTTTTAAAGACCTTGGCCTGAGGATTACATAAATTTTTCAAAACCTTCTTTAGTCTTTTAAGTCTTCAGAACAATGGAAAAAAATCAGAACCTGTGTTGTTTTCTTTTTCAGGAAAGAGCCTGAGCATAGCCAGAAGAAGAGACATCCTCCGCTCGTTCTACCAGTCAGTGACAGGGACAGTGTTTCCTCCCACACCAGGGACAACACCACCTGAAGTAGTGGAGAATGGCCACGGAGATGGTAAGTCTTTAGAATGATATGAAAATGAAGGTTAGACATTAGAAAGTAGAATTATTTTCATTAGGTTGGTAAGACACTGAGTAAAGAGACTCTTTTTACACAACCAAGTCTTTTATTCAGACGTTTTGGCGACCGTCTGTCACCTTCCTCAGGGCAATTCTGACTGGTTCACATTGCAGTGCAGCTAAGGCGTCGCTGCTATAGATGCATTCATAAGTGTACACTGTAACCACGGATATGTGTAGATATGTAACTATAACATTTGTGAATGCATCTATAGCAGCGACACCTGTGCTGCAATGTAATGTGACCCAGTCAGAATTGTCCTGAGGAAGGGTACAGATGGTGAAAAATAGCGGTTGCTATATGAAATGTTTGTCTCCTTCACAGAATTTATATAGCTGCTATAATTATGCAGGGTGAGATAAGAACTTGTAGCTGATCTTGTCTACCTTTACCGACAAGTTCTGTTGTCTTTTGTAAAGATCCTTGGTGTGTTTACTATAGGTTTGGCTTCAGAATCTCCAGTCGAACCCCACACAGAGTTTGTACATTCAGCGCTGGACACATATGTGATCGGGGAGGACCACAAGTGTTATGCCACAAGAGAGGGACCCTACCAGATCTATGTGCTGTTCTCCAAAGATGTGCCAAAATATGCTCTCAGGTCAGTCACTCTTATAATTGTTTGTTTGTTTGTTTGTTTGTTTTTCCATGTACTTGTTTGTTTTCCTCTACTAACCCACCCTCAACAGGGAAGGGGGGCTACGGGTCGATCTTTCCGGCACTTGGGATTTGGCACTCCCAGCCCCGAGAACAGACAACACTTAAGCTCCTGTTCTGTATAACAGGAGCTTTCAGACTAATTTGCATCATCTTGTCTTGACTTGTCTGACTTTTGTTCCTTTTTCGACTTCCAAAAATTTGTCTTCAATTTATTTGCATATCAATCAATAGGTTGTGCTTATAACCTGTTTTCCCCTCTGGTCTCTCAGTCACTGACGAAAGCTAGTGGATACTAGCTGAAACGTCTGACGTTTTCAAAATCATATCCAGTTGCTTGAGTAACTGCTTTTTGGCGTATCGTATTACCTGGATGTCTAACCTTCATCGACTCATCAGATCATTATACATGTATGTGTAGAGTTGAAGAAAGAAACACATCAGGAAAACATGTACAACAACTGAAGGTTGTTATACAAAAATTATTGACCATGTAAAAAGATGCAAAATGACTGTAATGCAAGTCTTTCATACACATGTATATATTTTCATCCCCAAGTTACATGCTCCATCCTAAGAAGCTTTCTTGTTGGAAACATAGATATTCTAAACAGTAGAGACAAAATCGTCATAAATGTCATTTTTTTTCTTTTTTTTTCAGATCAATATCCATGACAACATTAACAGCCCTCACTAAGGACAAGTTGTTCTAGTTGAAGGACCTTTGTGGGGGCGATAGAATACAACGTACTACTTCAAAGGCAGCTAATATGTATTCTTGTCTAATTGTGACCAATCGTATACATGCACATGTAATCTGAAATAATCTATGGAAGATGCAGAGACCCTTCTTCAAGTCCCATCCGGCTCTGGGTAGATCAGTTGAGGTAAGATTTTGACTTTGTGTCAAGGTTTCTTTGGTAACCTTCCCCCTGCTGCCTAACCCTGTAGCCAATACAAACTTACTGCCATAACTTTTGTACAGCGTGCTGACAGGTCAATGACCCGTTTTTCGGTGGGATAGGCGCCCCTGGAATGGCGACCAAAAATTGGCGATTTCGGCGTTTTTGCGGCTCATACAAGGAAAATACGTTACCCCTAGTATAGATATATGATTTTCAAAACGCATCCATTATAAAACTACTCATGAAATATGGCAAAAAGGGTCATATATGTGGAGACAACACTCTAAGTTAAATATTTACGTTTGGCCGAAACAATACGCTGAAATTTGAATCTGTAGGGGCTAGCGGCATGGGGTACACTCAACGTTCTCGAAAAAAAATTCATAAAAAATCGTCCTTTAGGAATATAAAAAAATCCAAACATCAAGTTTTTACTATATAATGACTATTATCCACATTTCTGAAAAATATTGTGACTTTTTACTGAAGCACTAGCCTGAAAATGCTATTTTTCTAAAAATGGGCTTGGCCTCATAACTATTGATGACGTCATCGTGACGTCATAAAATTTTGCATGAATTATCATCTTGCAACAAGACACTTTGTGACAAAAATTCAAAGTCCGTACTTAACTGCAACATGTACTGAGTCTCTTAGAACACCCCAAAAGTCCTCAGGATGGGTTATTTAGTACCTTAAAAGAAACAGTAAATGATGCTTGTTATGAAACTGTCTTCTGGATTAGCCTTGTTTAGTGAATTAGTTGCAAAATGTTTTGAAGTACATAATGTGACACTGTACATGACTTTATATTTCCATAATGTGTATGTTTGATGTAAGAGAAACTACTGTTTTGCAGAAAGGATACATGTGCATTTCTTTATCTCTAACTAGTGTAAGAATCACAGACCAGTATTGTACATTGTATTTGATGTATTCAAGCTTTTGATAAATGCACAATTGACAGGTAGATTTAAGGCCATTGTACACATGGGTTATTGTTAATATGAAATAATTTTGTTGCCAGTATGTTTCACCTAACTGCTATTTTATTTTTTGTTCCAGGTTTCTACCAAAGCACAACCCAGTCAAGTTACAGAACTGCAACAGTTTTCAAAGCAGATGTTAATATCCCATCAGAAACAATGCCATCATTATCCAGTAGTTTTGATACCAGTAGTCGAATGAACCAGTTGTATTAAATTTGCTTGGCCACAGCAAAGCCAAAAAGCCCTGCTTTTTGTTACTGAATAATCTTTTGGGGCTAAGAAAATGATTATTCTGTTGTAAAATTAAGCCATAAGACTGTATTGGATGTGATTCTAGTCAAGCTACAATATCCTTTACATTCTACTGTAACGGTTACCTCAAAATCTTGTTTTTTTTTTCTTGTACTATGTTAATTCTTACATTTTCCTATTGAATCTCTTGGCATTCATTTCGTTACATGTATGTTATTGTTGAGGTACTTTCTGTTTTATATACGTGTAGATGAATTATTTATATTCCAAACTTCTCATGTATCTGACAATCAGCAAAATTCTCGGTCAGTAATTGTTCGTTATAAACACAAATTGTTGTCAAGGTCAAATGACAAGTGTGCAAAATTAGATAAAAGTGAGTTATTCCTTTTCTCTTGTGTCTCATTTATTGTGTTAATTTTAGAAAAGGGATGCCTTCATTCATAAACCTGTGACTACAGAATGTTGAACAGATGACTGTACATATTCATGGATATATCATATACATATATAACGGGAGGGGTCCTAATTCCGACCTATGTTCCATGCAAATGCACATGCCTTTTGTAATAGTTTATCTGACCAAAAACTCGCGCAACATGAGTTATAATATTGACAGATAAAGGTCACAACGATTAAAGCTGTACAGCTGTGTATTTCACTTCAGTGTAGCGCCTTGCACCCAAGCGTAATCGTTCGCGAAACGTACGGCAGGTTTTTGGTCATTTTGCTGGTGGAACATTCTATCGCAAAAGGGGTGCCCTAATTCCGACCTAGTGTTTAACACAGGTTGATCTGAGGAGAGAGATTAGAAATAATAATACACAAATTATGACTAAAACAATCTACAACTGTTTTTCCGTCCCATACAAGTCCTCTTTTTACGATTACGCGACTTGCTCCAAAGCGGCTGTTTGAAAAGCAAAACCTGCATTTTTGACACGCTCGTCAACCCCCGAACAAGCGTCGAATTCAAACACATTTTTCACTCGTCTGTTGTCGGAGTGTACGAACTAAAACAAACTTTGTGAGATTACCGATATCAACACAAAATATTTGTCCATTCTTGTGGTTATTTTTGGGCACGTGCTCCCGTGCATAACGCCGCAACAATGATTTTTCAAACTAGTACGGAATTAGGGGTAGGTCGGAATTAGGGCACCCCCCGTTACATCATGTACACATGTTTATACCAGCCATTACACATATACCTTGTACACATACAGAGACAGTAAAAAAATCCGAATTTCCTTACATTTCCTTTTTTTCACAAGGAGGGCAATACTCATTCCACTGCTCAACCTATTGTGAAAAAATTTTGACATACTAGTAATATGTATTTTTCGCCTTTTGTATTGTATTCAATATGTTCACAGAAAAGCTGTCCCCAGAATGAAGTCAAACTCGTCAGGCATAGTTTTAGATATAGCCATAGTTTTAGACAACTACCTTCAACTATGTCGATTTTTATGTTATTTTATACTCTGTTTCAAAGTTCTTTTAAGTTAGCCTTCAGGTATATAGATTTGCAATAAATTTCTCTAATTAATGTGAAACACCCCTATATGGAATAGTGGACTATTCCATGTTTGACCTTTGACCCAATCAGTCGCCAACATGGCAGGATCCGAACTTGCGGCAACTCTTTCCGACTCCAACATGTCCGAATCGCCTCCTTTCGTGATCAAAACCGTCGAGATGCACACAGGCGGCGAGCCCATACGAATCATCACCGACGGGTACCCCAGAATCGAGGGGAAAACCATCCTGGAGAAGCGGGCATACGTACGGGACCACCTCGACGTGTTCCGGCAGAGGTTGATGTGGGAGCCGAGGGGCCATTTCGACATGTACGGTGCCCTTCTCGTAGAGCCAGACGACGAAAGCGCCGACATCGGCGTGCTTTTCATGCACAACGAGGGCTACAGCACCATGTGCGGGCACGCGTGTATAGGGCTGGGGCGATATGCGGTAGACAAGGGGGTAGTTCCCGCGAAAAGCCCGCAGACCGAGCTGGTTATCCAGTGCCCGACCGGCCCGGTGAAAGTCTGGGTCGACTACCAGGACGGGAAAAGTGGGCGTGTCCGGTAAGTTTTGTTCTTTCTTTCAGCTTAATTAATTTGACTTCTATTTTCTAACACGAAACTGAGAGCTCTATTCAGCTAGTCCAACATATAATATAAAGTCTCATTCATTTATCCATTCATTCATTCATTACTTATAACTCTTAAAATTATCAGATTTCTCCGGTCAAGGTTGATTGGAGTTGGCGCTAAAGAGCCCGGCTGAGAGACGTAGAATATTTTTCCTACCGGTATTTTTCGTCAGTAAACTTTCCCTCGTAAATTTTTGTACCTAAGAATCGAATTCACTTTTATTTTCAGGTTCCACAGTGTCCCAGCGTTTGTCTTCGCACTCGACCAAGAAGTTGACGTGCCAAACTACGGACGCGTGAAGGTAGACATCGCGTACGGCGGTGCGTTCTACGCCTTTCTCCCCGACAGCTCTCTAGGGTTAGATCTCCGCACAGCTCCGGCTGAAGCTGTGAAAACCGCGGCCACTGCAGTCACGGAGGCCGTGAAGAAGGCCGTCCCGTTACGCCACCCGGGACACCCGGATCTGGCGTTCCTGTACGGGACGATTGTCACAGATGGGCGGGACGAGTACGCCCCTACGCCGACGGTCAACACCTGCGTGTTCGGTGACGCCGCCGTGGACAGGTCTCCCACGGGCTCGGGCGTCACGGCAAGAGTTGCCATACAGGTGGGACAAAAGGGCAATTTGAAGTTGTTGTTTTTTTGTAAGTCCTTCGCTTTTAAAACTGACGAAAGCATTTCTTCTAAGGTTGAAGATTTTTAAGAGCGAGTGTCTTCAACTCACTGTCTAAAAGTTTTCATTTAGGTACTTCGGCATACATCTACATATGATAAAAATGATGATGAGTATTAAGTATTCATTTATGTTCGTGAGGAGTATTTGTCTCGTTAGGAAAGGTGTGAAGGCAAGATTTGCTATACAGGTGGGATACTAGTGATAGACAAAACCAATATTTGTAATTGTTGCTTTTCAGTCCTTTCAAAATTGAAGAAAACATTTTTTTAAATCTAATAAGATTCAAGTGATTTTAATTCTGAATTAATAACAGTGGTGTTTTAAGTTCACGAATAAAAAAAATACTTAAAAGCAGTACATTTACAGAGGTATTAGTACCTGCACTCTTGGCTACAGTATGCATGCCTCTTACTGTAGGCATTACATACACGATCTTGTACACAATAGCATGTCACTTTTGGTGCGTTTCGTCCAGCTTGGGCGTTGTTCTTGCCCGGCCTATTTGCTGATTTTAAATGCAGAAGCACGGCAGGTCCTTGTTGGGGACCACAACGGAAAGATAAGGATCAAATAGCATGTTTATTACACCTCTCTGTGGTAATTTAAGCCGGGCTTTCTGATGATAAATCGTAGTAAAAGGATCATCTGATACCAGCCCAGAAAAGAACGAGAAACAGTCATGCCCTCAAATATCAGAGTTATCAACCAAGAATTGAGGTGTTCAAAAACTCGTATTTCCCCAGATCTAGAACTAACTCGTTGCCACCAAGCACAGTTGGGGCATCATCACTAGAAAGCTTTAAACAACTCCTGCAATTAAATGTGCAAAGATTGAGTGTAACAAGTCGTTCGGTGTGATATAGCTAGCTGCCGCCGCGCCGCGTGCCTGCGAAGCTGGTGTGTTACGCCGAAGGGCGGTTATACCGGCTATACTGATACAGAAAAGGTGAGAAACATTAGCGGTTGTGTGAGGAGACATTCACTCGTTCAGTCCCGTAGCCGTAGGCCGTAGTCTGTCCACAAAAGGTTTTCACTCTGGCGTAATCTCCCAGCAGATCATACGGTGGCGAGGCAGTATCCATTGACCAGAGGAGTGGCTAATGGATGCAGCCTGGCCATTTTGTCTTTTGCGGCCACCGAAAGATCTGCTTGGAGATTACCTCTGGCGATTGTCGGTTATTCCGGTCCGAGTCAGACCGCCGTCTCTCCCGATCAATCTTTAATGTCGCTGAGCTATGCTCGGTGAGGCGACCCCTCGGCCTTCCCGTGACATATGTATATATTTTTTTATTCCAACATTTCGTGACTAGGCATAGTGACGGCACACTTAAGTTATTTCAACTTATTTTATGCCGCCACCATCGTAGAGGACAATTGCAGGACAGGACAATACTCATATCACTTGAGGACAGTCGCCTTTCCGGTGGCATGTCAGGACTCGAACCCGGAACCTCTTGGTAACAAGCTGGTTCCGAGTCGAGCACTCTGCCGTGACACCACACGACCCCACATATGTACGAAGAAAAGTTGTCATATCTAGCCTCCTTCTCAAACTTGTGAGGCGGCGGCGTTAATTTTATTCGGGGAGCGACGCAAAACTCCCTCGGCAGCAAACATCCCTCGGCAGTATAATTCGCGTCGCTCACCGAAAAAAATAACGTCGCCGCCTCACAAGCCTGCGAAGGAGGCTATAAATGCCTATATCATATCCTTGTTTTCTCCACAGTATCGCCGTGGGCAGATCGACCCGACCAGAGAGCGGCAGTTCGCGAGCGGCGCCACGGGCTCCGTGATGACCGGCCGGCCCGTCAGGGAGACCAAGTGGGGGGAGTTCGACGCCGTGATCGTGGAGGTGGCGGGACACTCGTACTACACCGGAACAGCCGAGTTTACAGTCGAGTCGGACGACCCGCTGAAAAACGGCTTTCTTGTCAAGTGATTGTCAACGTATAATTTTATTATATATGAATGAATGAATGAAGGCCATTATTTTACACATATACTCACTGGGTTAACTACAGGTTACAACAAAAGAGTATAATATACAGATAACGTTACATATATACAATGTCATGAGTAACGTAACTTTTTAATGAATGGATGAATGTACACATACATGTATACCATCTTGGTTAAGTACAGGTCACAACAGAAGAATAGTATACGGATAACGTTATGCAAATGTACATTGTCATTACTATTACATGGTTGTTAATGCACCATTATACATCCATGTTATACAACCTTAATTACCACCAACTTTCCTAAAGCAAAATTTCTTCTCATTTTTATTTTATCACAAGACGACTTGGTTGGCCCAACAACTTGTAAAAGTTGATATCTAAGTTTTATTTGAGTTTCAGTGATTTTTCTTACCCGAGAAATGTGAGGTAAATTGTAGATATATGGGAGATGTTGCTTCACATATCCTGCTACCTCATGAGTTGAAGATCCGTAAATATTCATACAGGATCCTAAAACAGGATACTAGGAGGGGAATGCAATAAATTTCAGAGGTTAACGGGCGACAGTGATCTGGTATAATCTCCAAGCAGATCATACGGTGGCATATATCTATTGGCCAGATCAGTGTCCATTAAGCTTCGGTCACAACCCGCCGTATGTACTTCTGCGTGATGTCTACGTGCAAAAACGTGGGCAAACGCAGGGCATCCGTGCGTGGTGAGTGCCGCCTCCGTACGGAATCCTACGGATTTGGGAGCGTGCGGTCTATGGATTCACCACCCGTGCGTGCGAGTACGGGCGACGCGCATGCCCCGTACCGTACGAAATACGCACGTGAGAGTACGGCCTCCTTACGGTAAAGTTGCAATCGCACAGAGATCGTACGTTGTAAGCACGTACAAATCGCTTACCACTTGCGCAACGTACGATGCACGCAACCGCTTACGGCCAGACTTGGCGTGCAGACCACACTCTTACACCTTGCGAAACCGTGCGAGTGACGTGCGTCGATGCCACTCTCCTTCCCCACGTTTTCAGAAAAAACGTAGCAGACGTAGCCTCCCAAAAAACGTACGGACAAAAAGCACGTACGGTGGGTTGTGACCAAGGCTTAAGCCACCGTATACATCTGCTTGGAGATTAATCTGGTAGATGTATTGATCGCAAGACGGCTGGGTTTCTCACTGTAGACCGTTTGACTTTTCCTTTCGTCTAGTGGAGGAAGGCAGATGAATACATATTTCATTAGTCCAGCATGTGACACAGTTACATTATGCATTTAATCAAGGTCCTCATTCATTATACATTACATCTGTATCTTTTAATAACTATATAAACACAACAGGTAAATGTCTTCTCAAGGGGAGAAGATTTGAAATTATTCTTTATTAATTGATGTGATGTATGATGATGATGGTATTATTTATTAACAGGTGGTTTCGAAGAATAAAAGATGTCTTGTTTGTTATAGACTTTATATCTTTTCTTGCATTTGCTGTCTGGCTTGGTCATCGCATTTTAAGTAAGGAGTTTGTACACTTTTCTTACCAGTCACTCTGTTTTGTGACTGGTAGGTACTCGGTATGGCGTTCAAAGCTTTGTCCTTCCCATAGGAGACTGACAATACAGTTTGTCCGTATGGTGCGATAACATCGTCTCCTGAGGTTGGAATTTGAGCGCCTGGTATGACTCCATTCTGGTCTCTCGCTTGAGGCTGGTCTTCTATTGTCTCGTAAGTATGATGAAGGAAGTCGACAGGGTTTTGTTGTACGTTTACAGTCCCAGTGTAATTCTGGTTTTGGATATTTTGCGGCGCGGTCTTTCTTAGCGACTGAAAGACGAAATAACAGAACGCCAAAAGTGATAGCGTCAGTAGAGTTGTGATGATTAGATCCAATAGATTGAACGAAGCCTTGTTAATCTCGTCGTTTTTCAGAATAAAATATACTAGATGTCTGTTGTGGTCAATATCAGTCCCATTCACTGTTGATATAACTGAGTTAGAGAACGTAGTAGTAACAGGTGAGTTGGTTACGGTGCTAGCTGTATTGTTAACGGTGGTCAGAAAGTTCGAAGGTGAAACGGTAATCCTACTTTGGACTTCAGACACATTTTGTTGTGCTGTAATGTTTTCCATTCCTAAGGCAAACACCGATGTACAAGAAATAGCCTTATTTTGCCATTCTCTGGCGAAAATCTCACCGAATGTCATGAAAGATATTGTTTTACCCACAAAATTACAGGTACTGTTCGCTAAAGTGGAATGGTTGGTACCTAGCGATTTGGATTGGCAACAATTAAAGCCCTTCGGTTTTATATAGAACGAAGTCGTAATATTTACATCCCTGAAGTTTAAACGTGTCTCCATTTCATATGAAACGTCAGTGATGACGGTTGTGTTATCTGGAAAAGACCATTTTATGAGAGGGGGTTCCTTTTCCCAACATATTTCACAGCGGAGGGACCAACTACCACCTAAAGTCGTCGTTAATGATATTTTTGGAGTTGGACAAGGCATTTCTGCTACCATGGCACTTGTAAAACTCTTCAGTTGGATCCCTTGCAAATCGCTTGGATAACTACATGGGAAAAGTCCCAGGTCCGATTTTGTGTGTAGACTAGCTTTCATGAACCAATCCATAGCACATGTACAGCGGATGGGATTCTGTTCTAGTTTTACTCCTGTGTCTCCGAAAAAGCCTTGTCGTTTCATCATACCATGGTGCACAGTCGTTATGTGGTTTTTAGAAAGATCAAGAACCCCTAAAAGCGGGGTATTGTCAAATGCTCCCGGTTCGATGTAGGCGATTTCATTATTGTCTAGATCAAGTCTATAGAGAAGTCTTTGTTCTCCTATGTCCGGAAACCAGTCGGCACAGATTGTCTTTAGTTTGTTACCGGTGAGACATAATATCCGGAGGCGGTATGGTCCATCAAAACTGCCTGAAAACACAGGCATAAAGTGGAAAATAGGACATCTGATATTTTGTGATTCAAAATATCCTAATTCAAAGCAGTCCAAAACTACCATATCTCAAATATTGTAACAAGAAATAGCACTGCATGAAAGAAATGACCTTGAATTTCCGCCAACAGCCAAAATTGATAAATGGCTAATTCTCTAAGCTCTATATCCTGTTATTGTCGTCTGCGGTTATAGAATTTCTACCACCTCTTAACGTAACTCTATTTTTTGTCACTGCTTTCTGCGATCACAATTCTACAACCTCTGAGTTCTACTTTCTGTAAGCCCATCTACGGTTACTACAAATCCTTCCATCCCCCACTTACTACGTACATACGAACGTGCACACAAACAGAGGCAGCGAAAAAAAGCCAGACGGGAATGGCGCTTTAATACGGTCGGCATGTGAGCTTGCGTGCCTGACTGTGCGCACCGGCGATTTGGTGATGTCTTACATGAAACATCTTCCAAACGTAAACCTTCATACACGACCATAATAATTGCATGAAAACCTAGTTACCTTTATAGATGGTGTGAATCTTGTTGTATCGTAGATCCAACAGCATAAGCGACGAAAGCTGTCTGAAGTAGCCTGGCCCGATCGTCTCTAGCCTGTTCCATTGTAGGAGTACCGCGGTAGTAACTGCCCCCCAATGCCCGATACCAAACGCCCCATCTTCTATATAGGCTATTTGGTTGTGATCTAGATTCAAATGCCCGTTGCTTTGGACAAGCCAGTTCTTCCGGAGATACGGGAGTTTGTTATGACGCAGTGACAGGGATTTCGGACGAAGGAGACCCAAAAATGTGCCACTTTCCAAACGTTCAAGGTTTCCTAAAAGTTAAACAGAAAAAAGGCAACGCGATAAATCTTTATCATCTTAGTCAAAGTCAAATCTTTGGTGGATCCGGAGTACAAATATTTACCTTATACAATTTACATGTGTATATTTATAATGAATTCAAAGAACTATCGGGTTTAGTTTTCCTAACTTATATACGAGTAAACTACTAGTATAACTAGTAATGCCTAAAATTGTTCCTTCTGATGTCTTTGTCCCCATCCTGGTTGTGACTATGTGCACGTGCGCCAAATATTCAGCTGCACAACATCAACCTTGATAAATTATTTCATTTCATTTCATTAAAAAAAACGAACAACGTAACTACCCGTCGGGGCATTGGTTTGGAAGTGTGAAGCACGACTTCCAAGCCTGATTGGGGTCTGGATCGGCTGAAACGGATTGAAACGAGCGTTGGCTACAACCCTTTAGATCCTCGGCTTGTAAATGTGCCTAGGGCCACACCGAGTTAATTTTATGGATGACATCTGCGTGCGCATTGATTTTCGCCTGTCCTAAAAAAAAAAAAAGATCCACCGAGGTTCTGGCCTGGCCCTAGGCCTGAGTAGTTAGCCATAGGGAGCCAGCGGTAACTCTGAGAAAGGCACCCAGGCTACCGAAGCACTACGACTCAAGAACTCAGTACATTGTTATAGTGCCGATTCCCCAAAAAGCCAGCATGTGCCGACTTGTCCTATACGTCGCTACTGTATGTGCTGCCGCAAATTCACAATACCAGCTTTGTATCCCAGTGGTTTAGTAGCATTTCAATTTTTGGCCGGAATTTTTTTTTTATTCGCCTGCAGGCACTAGTTTGGGGGTCTTCGGAGGATGTCATCCATAAAATGAAGTCGGTGTGGCCTAATACCCCCATTACACTTAGACGGCGCTCTCACGGCGCTCTCTCTGCGACCTGAAATTGACCAGAGTGCGGAGAGAGCGCCACGGTCACCATGGGAGCGCCATGAGAGCGCGATGAGAGCGCAATTAGAGGGCCATGAGCGCGATGGTAAGGAAACGAGTCATGCCATCGCCGTGAGGGCGCCGAGGACGGCGATGCAACAATGAGCGCCGTGAGAGCGCGAAAAGAGCACCATGAGAGCGCACAACGGCCCCAACATTAATTTAGACACAAAACATGGCGACCTCGGCGCTCTCTCCGTGCGACGGTATTTGCCGCGTCGGTTTAAAACAGTCCCCGAGGTGACGGCGCTCTGAGCGCGCTGTCATGGTGACCTTGGCGATCTCTAGGCTATCTTTCCACGCTCAGTCCAATTTCAGGTTGCAGAGAGAGTGTCATAAGAGCGCCGTCCTATTGGAATGAGGCCTAACTTACCTGGGTGTAGATACAGAGTCTTGACGTCTTTCAGATGGCTCAGATCCGACAAGGACAGGGAACCCAGGCGAAAATTTCGAAGCCACAGCGTCGAAGTCCTTCTCACAAGCGGGCATGTCGGAATGACATCCCGGCGTCTGTGTCCCGGTACGGGCGTACAGACCACACAATAGGGAGAGAGATCGTCAAGAGCTTCGGCGTCCTGAGTGGCGTTGGTGAGCGAGTTGGACCTCAAATTATAACCGCGACAATTCGGGCATGAATCGGGACGACATGACGCGTACCTCAATAAGATCATTAAGGCTAACAGAAGTGAACAGCGAGCCATTTTTACACGGTAAACAAAATATTTCTGACTCGAACGGTGCGTTCGTCTATTGCACAGTTTCTCGCATCAACTGCCTTCGATTTGACGCGTCTTAGCTTGTTATAATTCCTGCAGTGTTACATTATTTCATGTAAATATGTGTATTATAATACCTCCGGTTGTCCGGATTTCCTGCAGCTTACGTATACGCGACTTAGGCAGAAGGAAAAAAATGTTGTGTTTCTTGTTACCCGACTGTACCATAGAAAAATCCTGCCAAACCCTAGCCTTTTTAGGGAGCTTGCAAGACATAGAGACATGATTTTTTTTCTTTTATCTCAGGCCATGTTGATTTGATTATATGGATGACATCCTCCGGGAGCCCCAAAACTGATGCGCGCGTGCGAATAAAAAAAAGTTTTGCAAAAAAAAAAAAGGTGTTTTCATTATGAAATCTACGTGGTCATGAGGGTTGAACAAATGGGACAGAATATGGTTTGGCGAATAATCTAATCTCCAAGTTCATTTCCTTACAATTTCGTCTTTTTTCGTTTGATTTTGGCATTCTACGGCATTGGTATAGTTTTTACTTATTTTTTTGTAACTTATGGTATATTTTTGCTCATTTTGCAACTGTTTTGTACGATTTACAGTATGGTTGAAAACTTTTGTTTTTCTGGAAACGGCCGAAAATTCATGCGCGCGCAGATGTCATCCATATAATCAAATCAACATGGCCTTAGTGATGAAAACATTTCTGTTACAATAGAAGAGGTGATATACACTGTCCATGTGTAGTGTGTGCTGCTTTCCTCGGTTTTTTTATACGCTTGTGCTAGTTGTGTACAACGTATGCCTGTATAATTATATAAAATATGATGATAAAAATATAAGTGTCGTTATGCATTACAATTTTAAATTGCAAAACAATATTTATTGGATCCCTTCTACCGACATTAAAAAAAATGAGAATCTCTACCAACCGACCAAATATTTTTAGGACCGTCATCCAAAACACAATATTTATTTTCCAATGCCTTACTTCCAGCCAGACAATTTATTTTTTCCCTGACACGATTACATGTATGCTATACACCACATAAACACAATATATATATATATAATGCACTCTATATGTATACTTCTCTGGCAAGTATGATTTAAAAAAAAGGTGCATATACGCATATGCATACAGCGAACATATAACCTTATCATGAGTTTCAAATATACACTTTTTTCAGACAATTTTTGAATGGCTTTCTTCATACATAAATCATTCAGCCTACTTATGCTCTAGCAATACGCACCACAGATGAATGAAAAGTCGCACATCCGTGGGACAAATTGTCTAGCGTATGACATAGTTACATCATGCATATAATTTGTCCTCGTCTCATGTATAAGAGTTCACTCAATAGTACTACAAAATCAGTATGCTTGAATGAACGAGCTCACCACATAGCCCGTAGATTCAGACATACTTCCGTTTCTTAAGAAAACGTTTACACCAAAACTAAGTAGTAAATTCAATAGGCTCCCCTTTGTAATTACCTTCGCCAAGAAGGTTATGTTTTCAGAGGCGTTCGTGTATGTGTGTGTGTGTGTGTGTGTGTGTCTGTCAACACGATAACTTGAGAAGGCCTTGATGGATTGTCTTGATACTTGGTAGGTGGGTAGGTCTTGATGAGACCTCAAAATGATTAGATTTTGGACCCCCTAGCGGCTTGTTATGGTACTGCAGCTGAACTTCCGGTTTTGATATCTCATGATCTAGACATGCTATGGTGATGAAATTTAGATGGTAGGTAGCTCTTGTGCTGGGGAAGAAGTGATGTGAGTTTAGGCCCCCTAGCGGCTTGCTCTGGAACTGCAGCGATATATTCTTGAAAATATTCAAAAGGGGATAACTCAAGAACCGGTTGACGGATTGTCGTGATTTTTGGTATGTAGGTAGCTTACGTGATCCTTCATATAATTATGTGACAATTATGCAAATATGGATATAATTTGCATAATTTATGGTGAAATTCTATAAATCAGCTGCATTCCATGATAGGACAATTAAAGCTTGTGACATTGGTAATTGACAACGAGAGAAACACAGGAAGATATTGATTATGTTAATAATGACCTAATTTGCATAATTAATGAGAAAATTTTATAATTATGTAATGATAACTGCCTGGAATTTCATACTTGTGGTATTTGAAAGTTAAATTGAGGTGAACATCATTAAACATAATTTATTCAAATCAGGACCTCATTTGCATAATTTATCAGGAAGTGCTAGAATGCATTGTTTGTTACTATAAGACTGTTTTTTTTGTTGAGATTATGATAAAATGATATAATTCATGAAAATTAGGTTCCTATTCCTTAAATCAGGGGGGGAATAATCTATAATTTGTCAGTCATAAAGATTAACATCATTTGGCGAAGGTATGAGATCGGGGAACTCTAGTTAATTATGGGTTCACCACACCACGAAGTGGTGTGGTGAAACCATATTGCTTTTTCTGATGTTTCTTCTTCTCCTTCTCCTCCTGCCATATCTTTAAATGGATTCAGCTTCTTCATTTTAGGGCCTAAGGTCCTGAAATTTGGTATGGAGGTACAGTGGGCAAATACCCCTAGGCGTTTTTTAAATTATTGTGATACAGGCTTTTAGAATGGTTTTATTTGAGTTTTTTGGCTGTGTAATAGCTAATGTATTACTGTGTAAGTGTGCAGTGTTTACCACATTTGGACATGAGTCATCACAATGGCATGCAAGGCATCAACCAATAGGCATGCAGCTTTCCTCTATTCTCCTTGCTGATTGGCTGTTGGGATTTAACTGGCTTAACTTCATTTACACCTGCACAGAGCCATGCCATACTGACAGTATGTCTGTATTCAAGTGTTTTGGTAGGTATTTTAAGCTTTCCTGCTCCAGCATTGGAATGCGGGCTATGAACGCTTCTTTTTATCTTGAAAATCAACAGTTTGCATTATGCAATCCTAACCAATAATGTAGGGAATAGCTATCCAACTGTTGTAGTCTTAGTTGTATGTTACTTCATACTATAGTTATATCAATTTAAAGCATTGTTTTCCCTTGTGTTTCTCATTCTTTCCCTGCCATGTGGTAAAATGTGGTGAACCCATCGCTATATTTGCTCCAAAGCAAATATTGGCCTTTCTAGTTTTTAAAATCACTTCACTGTACAGTTCCGAAGATTTGTGCGTTTTCAAGCTTGACTTTTAATTTTGACTGATTTATAACTTGTAGATATTTCAGGTTATAATATTTTGATATACATTGTTATGTTTACCTTCGCAGAAGGAAACATGTTGTTGCTCCATTTGATCTCCTTTTCCAAACATATAAGGTCAATGACCTGGACCATATGGTCAATGACCTGGGCCAGACGTCTGTCACCATGGTAACTGTTGCTTCAGTGGTGTTCGGTTACGTATATACATTACATATGTATGTAGCAGGACAGAGCTGTAGGGGCTGGTCACCATATACTAGTGTGTATTTGAGTAATAAGAATAAACAGAGCAATAGTTCCTTAGGCTGGAAAATGTGAAGGTATACATTATGCATTTGCTTTGCAAATGTTATCTTTCTGGTTTATACGTTTTTAATTTCCAACCTTAGGAACTTCAACTTCGCCATATGCTTTTGGAGATTCTTCTATATCTCTTTTTTCCTCGCCTTGCCTTTCGTCCTCATCCTGTTCTTGTTTCTGCTCTTGCACTATGCCATGCTCTTTCTTTCTTTCTTGCTCTCGCTCTTGTCCTGAGTGGGACGCCTCCTCGCCCGTTCCTACAAAAACATACGCCTGACAGGTCTTTGAATTCTTCCTTGCTGCACTCATGTTGGAATCTTTTGCAGCTTCGAACTTGTTGCTCGATTAAGTCACGTCATTACCATGAACACCATCCCTCTCTACCTCCACATTTACCTCTCCTTGTCTGTGTTTCCCACTATCTGAAGACGCGGTTACTGTTGCGTTCATTTCCGCGCCCATTCCGTACGCCCCCGATGTAGTAGCTTGTCCGTATGGTGGGATGACGTCATCTGTGGTTGGCATCTGATTGGTCACTGCGATTTCGTCCTGACCAATCACTGGAGGGTGATTGTCCTCCATTGCCTCGTAGTGATGATGAGAAACCTCGTCAGCAGCATCCTGCTCGTTCATTGGCTGATTGCAGTTGGCCTGATTCGATTGCGACTTCTGCAATGCGGTCTTTCGTAGCACAACATAGTAGATGAACGCCACAACTGACAATGTAAACAGAGCTGTAGTTACCAGATCCAGTAGATGTATTGAAACAGTACCATACAAGCCTGACTTCAGAAGAAAGACAAGTTCTGTTTCGTTCTGTATAGGCGTTGTTGCTACATACGAGTGTAAGGTGGCGTTTACGTTATTACGAACGGTACTTGACAAATGGATTTCACTGTCGACTCCTGATACGTTATGTTGAACTGTGATATTCTCTTCCCTAAACAAAGCTGAGCAGGAAATAATCCCACCACTAAGGATCCATTCTTGAATGAGGATCTCACTTACTATCAAAGATGACATTGTTCTTCCCACAAAGTTACAGTTCGAATGATTAAATGTGGAATGACAGCAATTGAAACCATTTGGACTCAAGTAAAATGACGTTGAGATGTTTATATTCTGAATTTTGATATGCGTTTCTATCCCGTATGTTACGTTAGTGATGAGTACTGTTATATTTGGGAGAGTCCATATGATTTGAAGGGGTTGTTTTTCCCAACATATTTCACAACGGAAGGACTGATCACGCATTTCCACTATGGAAAGTCTTGGTGTTGGGCATGGAATTGTTTCTATCATGGTGCTTGTGAAATTGTTCAATTTTGTGCCTCGTAAGCCGTTTGGATAGCTACATGTTAAAAGCCTGAAATCTGATTTTGTATGTAAATTGTATTTCGTGAACCACGAATGAGTATCGCATGTACAGCGGATAGGATTCCCTTGTAGTTTGGGCCATATGTG